AAAAAAAAAAAAAAAATAGAAAAATAAAATAATTAAAAATAAAATAGATAATGCTAAAATCGCGTACGACTAAGAGCTCCGATTGTTTTTGTTTTCTTCATTTACAACTAACATAATTTTATGCTGATATTAAAAAATGAATATATAAACAAAATTAATATTATAGAATATAATTTATATATATATAATAAAACTACATACACACTACTACGAGATCATAATTAGAACTAACCAAAAAAAAAAAAAAAACATAAATCTAATATTTTCATTGTGAGTGAACGGTTTAATATTACTGTGCTTTCTAACTATAATAAATTTACACTACGTTGTACTAATATATATATATATATATATATTTTAATTATTATTATTTTTTGTTTGTACTTTCTAACACTAATTCAGGGCACTATATGTGTGTCAACTACTACAATACTGTGTTAATTATTTCAATACCTTACGAGGAAATTTTTCAGAACAAAAATTCGAACGTTGTACGTACATTTAAATCTTCAACAAAATTAATAATTATTTTTTATAATCAATAATAAAATTATATACATATATAATTGATACTTTAACACGTGTTACGTGCCAAGCCCTTTTTACCTGACTTGTCACTCAGGCCATTTAACATTGCTTTAACAAAATCCAACCTCAACATGTTATTATTAATTATTGTCAATATAACAATTAAACAAACTTATGTGCTTTGTTTCAATACTACATTTTGTATTAATGCATTAATATTTTATTAGGAATATTTGAAATTTGTTATAAACATATATTTTAAGCGTATTAAATAAATATGTTTAATGGTAAGTGTACCATCGGTGATACAACATGGCCTGAAGAACAAGTTTAACGTGTACCACCGGTGGTACACGTGGCAAGGAATGTGTTAAACAGTGCAATACATACGTCCGACGTGCACACACACACACGCACGCACACACACACACACACACACACACACACACACATCAACGTGTGTGTATGTATTTACGTACCTAGTGCACACGCGCAGTGATTATACGCATGCCGATTATTGGATTTCTAAAAGTAATTCGCGCATATTCAAGCACTAATGCTTGAATAAAATTCAAAGTATATTTAAAAGAATAATAAATAATCAAATTAATGGTAATAATAAATTTAAAAAAATTATAGAAAGAAAGAGAAAGAGAGAGAGAGAGAGAGAAAGAGAGAGAGAAAACGTCTAATTGCGTGTCATCAAAATAAAAAATAAAAAAACAAAATCAACTATGTTTATGCTGGATATAAAAATATATTGTAAATAGTAAATTATATTAATAATAAATAACGTTAGTAAATTATCTACAATATCTATTTGTGTGTGTGTATATATCTATGCGTTAAGATAAAATTGTTTTCTTTTTTTTTTTATTATCTACGATATTTTCGTTCAATCGATGGGGTTTTGTTTTTTTCACGAACTCACCCGAATGGTGTGCTCGATCATCTTCTAAATAATTATTAAACATGGTTCTGTCGGCTCATTATAATATATTTTTTAATATATATATATTCTATATATACATACATATATGCAAATTTTTTTTTGTTTTTTTTATAGAAATTTTATTAGTTTCATTTACCAATTATTAAACTTAACTTTTCTAAACATTTAATTTAATCGACAATATTATTAAACAATAATTTATGTAATTTTGATGAGAATTTATCAAATTTAAACAATTAACATTTTTAGATTATAAATACGATTAAATCTTTTTTTATTTATTTATTTATTTATCATTGAATAAATGAAATTAATATTCCGGATAATTTTAAATTACATTTCAAAGTACGTATAATTCATTAGCACAATATATATTTATATATATTATATATGTATATATACATGTATACATGTATTTTGAAATAATTTAATAGCTTTGAGCAATAATTAAATATAAAATACGTATTATAAAAAAAATACAATAAATAAATAAATAAAAAAAAAAATATATATATATATATAAAATACAATAGCAAAGGGTCTAAATTACAATAAAAATTTATTAATAAAACAAAAACAAAAAACACAAATTTTATCCTAAACTTTTAAATCAATTTAATAATTGATTCGTATCGTTGAAAAAAAAAAAATTCAAAATATAATATATCATATTTCTACTACAAAAAGGAACTTCATACGTACGGTAATGTATATGTGGTAGAATATGCTTATTATACGTGTATTGCATCATGGTTAAAATGTGACATACATTTTTCACAATTAATAAAAAAAAAAAAGAAAATAATCACAACACCATCATACTGTTTAAAAAATGTCAAATGCACATTGTATTGTATATATCATATACATATATAAATACGTCTAAAAAAAAAAAAAATTGTTTAAAAAATAAATAAATAAATAAAATAACTCCGACGTTTTTGCATTATCAATATATTCCTCATGGGAAAGATAAGATGATAT